GGTGGTACGATGCATTTTGAAATGTACACATGGAGCGTTCTACGGTGATGGGACAAATTGAGTCCCTACCACAGAGTAATGTGTATTTAAATATCCATATGTAGGAGCTTCCAGACAATTATTTTTGAAAGCCTTTCTGGATGAATAGCAAAGGAACACAAGTATGTGGGGTGGTTAAAATGTCATGTGAGACCTTGTGTCTGATGTTCTGGCCATTCCAATCGGCAGCTACAACCCCAATTGCCACAGGTGCTATGGACTAAGATCGTCGTCAAAGTGATGTGATCCTGTAGAGTTAAATAATGATACAGAAAAATCACCCTTCGTAGAAGTGCAATCTGAGAAATAAACAATGAGTACATTTGTTTTTTTTTACATTGAAAATAATGTTTTGCTACCAAAGTAGATTTTTTTTTGTACCCATGAGCTCTGCGTATGTGTGTGTGTTGGGGGGGGGGGGGGTAGGAGGGGGGGCGTTACATTATTATGAAAAATATTTGCAACTCTTTAATACAAAAATTCAGTTCAGAAAGCAAAAAAATTGTAGTTCTGAAGAAGGGTATACATTGATGTTACAAATGCAAACAGTAATGGTATGCTTTCCACGTTTACAAACAAAATGTAAACAATTTAACAAGGAAGTGTAATTACAAATACAATATATATACAAATGTTTATTCGTATTATTACTTTGTGTGTTGTATATCTCAACCAACAATATTTTATCAACTTTCTATGCACTGGCAGTATTCATAATCTCTAAAATGGAACCCCTGTGGAAAGGCAACGTTATTATTGTATTTCATTTACCAGTTGTCATGAGAAATAGAATCATTTGGATCACCGGCGAATACAGAATACCATGTCTTTTGCTTAATGAAATAAATAATGAAAGCCCCATATGTACACTTACAAAATACATCTTTTCCCCCATCAGCCTATGGACTTTTCAGGCCAATATTGCCAGATAGCATTTGTTTAAACAAGCAAGGTGCGTACCAGTTTTGACCTTTAGGGTGTCATCAGCAGAGTTAGCCTCGTTATAAACAATACTGCTGGTTTTACCAGATGTTATTGGAAAGAATACTCGATCTACAAGAAGGGGGGATATATTCAAATTCATTTTTTTAAATGTATATAAATGAATAACATGAGTGTTGTTTGACCAGTTATTGTTAGCGGTTGGGATTCAGTGTTTTTAAAATGAGCTTAATCATATGGCACATGGTATTCTAAACATAATATACTCACAGATTGTATGCTGTTCTTGGCCCATTTCTGCTGAAAATGTGAAGGCGATTTGGTGTAGAGGGCTCAGGATTTGTTTGGCACATAGGGGTTAATTTGGTATGCATGTTTTAAACATTTAAAGTATCCAGTCGAGAAGAGAATGGAAAAGTGAGGCTTTTGTGTTTCGTTGATGGACTATATCCAAGCCCTTGGTTAGAAAAGGCATGATAATTGCAATCTGACCCAGGCCGTGATTTTCAAAGGAGAAAAAAAATGTACCGAAAGAGAAGCACTGTAAGGTGGATTTGAAGTTTTCGTGAATGCAAGGATTCATACAGCTACGTGACTTTACCGAAAAAACCAAAGAGCACTGTAAGTTAATGGAAATGTTGAACAACACGGGGCCAGGAAAAAGCTCTGCCCAACAAATACACTGATGCATGTTCGGGCCTGATACATGCACGTGTGTCAAAGTCGTCAACAGACTGAAAAATGTGTCCACCTGTTGTATCCGTGTCCGCCTCCATCAGTGGTGGTGCCAGCCTATTGAGGGCCATGAGGAGGAAAAAAACTTTTAGCAAAGAGGAATAGATACGTAGTGGTATCTGAGAAATGTAAAACAAATATTTATAGCGAGGTGAGATAAGAGAAATGCATGAAAGATAGAGGTGAGATAATTGACTTGGCTTCGATGTGTTAATTCACTTGCTATGTTTATTAAGATGTCCATTTCAGATGACATTTGATCCACCCTTATTGTTTCACATGCACAGAGTCCCTTGAGTTACTTGGGGCCCTAAGCCTTTTTCTTCGCTCGCTTATGCCCATCACCACCACGGCAATTCATCTCAGAACACTTTCACATGTTTTGCACACACACAAAAAACACAATGCCCCGAAAACGATGTGTATGAAAATTGCTGCACTACTTACCAATACGATTACCAACATAATAATCAGAAAATGTATTTCTACTCTAGTAATTCCACGACTTATAAAGCTCCTTTTCATAGATGTCCAGCATAACTATGGGTTTGGGGAGAAATCTATCCATTAAATACTTTCAAAAAAGTTATTTCACAGAAATTAAATATCGCATTGCATACCAGTGCGACAAAAACGCGCATGCGTGGGCGCAAGCTTATGTGCAAAACAGCAACGGCAATAACCATCGACCACCCTGAGCGCAGCTATTTGGGTATAAAGATACAGTCCTTGAATCTTTAACAAATTGAAGGCTCCCTTAATTGGCTAGATTGCCAACTTGTTAATTGATTTCTCGCGATGTTTTTTTTTTTTGCCAAGGGAAATAACCCGCAGCTGACAGTAATCTGTACTAATATGCAGCGGTGTATTATTTACATCGAATTATTCGTTTGTGTTAAAATGCACCATTCGGTTATAGAACAGTGGTCTCCAAATAGAGTACCGTTTTAATAGAACGCATAATTGAATGCAACCGAACAATAATCCCAAAATTGATGACGGACAAAACACTGTATTTTTACGAACATTATTCAGACAGTCTAATTTTATCTGCACTGAGAATGAGATTTTAAGGCATAATTCTAGAGCAGCGTCAGCAGATAGAGTCTATGCCAGATCACATTTTTGACACATGCTTCATATTGCATTGGCCCACCATTTCTAATGTGCTTAAATTACAGCTTTTGGTTAAACACGTGACATTTTCTCAAAGATTAACAACTAATGTTTGCAAATGGGAAAGAAAACAATTACCAAAAGCCATTACACACCGACATAAAGGCATTAACGCACTGAATGAATAATGCCGTTAATAGAGTAATTTGTGACTTAACATAATCAGTGTTGTTATTTAAGACGATATCACCTGGCCGTGCGTGCTGGTGTCGGTACATGAAGCTGTAAATATTGCCTTCTGACGCCACAAGGTGGCAGAGTTGCATAGAATGAAAGTGCATGCCACGAAGAGAAATAATTCATTTTGCAAGAAACTACTTAAGCAAGAGTGCTTATTGTCACACGAAAACAGCGCATTTTCATGCACGCACGCATGCAGACATGCCTTGACAAGTGGCATGCGTATTGGTAGTATCACTGTTACTGCCATTATAATTAAAACGAATTATTATTAGTGTTGGTGTTTCGAAAGCACAAATTTGATGCTGCATATTGCATCGTGCTGCTAACATTGCACGCATTGCCACTGCTTGATGACACCAAAACATTAAGCCAGCCTCACAGAGCATCCCAGACCTATATTAAGCGCTGGTTAAACACACACACACACACAAACTGCCTTTTGAAATGCCTCGTTGCCGTGTGCGTTTACAACGTGGAGTGTGATGATTGCACAGCAATTTTCATACGTTCGCCTGCGTTGGTCCAACAACGCCTGTGAAAATTCCATATCCATTACAGGGCATTTCGAAGTCCATTATATTGATGCCAATGTATACGTAATTGTGCAAACCGATTTGTTTCCGCTTAGAAAACAATATTACACTCTTATACATCCCAACGCATAGGTATTCAGTAATAGCAATACATGTCGTAGATATAACTGCATAACCCGAATTATGAATGCTGACTCGTTGTTTGCATTTTCTTTGTTCTGTTCACCGTTTGGTGGCCTTTGGTCTGGCACTCGTGAGATTTAGCCGGTGGAATCGGCTGTTTCTGGTGCAGGACAATCAGTTTAAAAGACAGGGCATACATCATCAAAGCGTGTTTGTTTGCATGTTTGACTTGATGATGACTTCTAAAAGGTGTCAATTTGGTGTTTGAACATCTTAACACCTTCTGTGTTTATGCCAGGAAGGGTAAAGCCCCTTTTTTGTAGCATTCAATATCTTGATACTGGCAAAAGGTTCCCATAGACAAGTTATACTTATCTATTTTTTAAAAATATCACACTATTCAATGTGTTAAATGTACATGTGATACAATCATAACATTATACCGCATTGTAATAACATGCAATGAAGTAGAGACGACCGTATATCCAATGACAGTATCGTGAAAATATAGTCAAATATATTAATATTGCCACAAGTTTACTTTTAAGTCATATGTTATCTTCATCTATGGGGTCAACAACTGCACTGACCAAAAATGTGTTTTTATTTAACAACACAAGAGTAAGGTATAATACACACGTGGCATAACTAGAACGCATTACATAATACGCATTTGCTATGATGCATACTAGGCGAAGCACATTGCTATGAGTGCCTGCTGTATAAAACGAAAAGTCAATACGGCACTGCATGCCATACTGCAAGTAACAGGACATGCTTTTGATATTTGTTCTGTTATTGTCAAGCACCCACACATGCGTTGCCTTTTCTATACACACACATTGACTATATATAGACGATACATTATATATCCCCATGGATGAGATATATATTATGTGTATATAATATACAGCAGTGAGCAAGGCTGCACGCAGGGTTTCGTTGGGATGGAGGAGTCGAGTGGGTAGAGTGGGGGGAGGGGGGCGGCGGATTTCAAAACCGACCAACATCACCCGACACGCGCTCCGCTCAGTGTGGAAGCGCCCTCGGTCCGGACCGCTCGCAACCCACGCGCGCTCTTCTCTCGATCACCAGCAGCAGCAGCAGCGACGTCGCTTCTCTACCTCCCTCCCTCCTCTCTTCGTTCTCTCTCCCTTCTCTCTCTCTCTCGTCTCGTGCTGAGTTCGTGAATGTTAATGACCACCCACCCATCGCGCTCAGTGCTGAATCAGTCGGTCAGTGCCGTTCTTACCTGTCTCGTGCGAGATGTTGGTGCCTGTGCGTGCGTGCGTGCTTCTGTTGTGGAGCCAGACTCGTTGTGTGTGTCTCTCTCATACGCACAGCAGGCTTATGAAGTCGTAGTTATATGTGGGGGTGTGTGTGTGTGGAGTTTTCCCGCTATGTCGGTGATGATTACCGGTGTCTCGTGGCACGTGGAGTCTCTCTGAAGCGTTCGTAGTTTTAAATCTCGCGGAGTTAAGCTGCCCATTTCTCATCGAGCCCATCGAAGTCATAGTCCCCGTTAAATGTTTCAATATCCTCGCGTCTCGTCGAGTCACAGCCTCTCTCCTGGAGTCGTACGATTTACCTGCGACTCAAATAGCCTCCCGTCGATTCATAGCGCAGCATCCTCGCTCAGCATAACATCAAGTATCGTGTCACAGTCCGCGTATACACAGCACGCAACACACCACACACACTCATCCCCTGCCTCTCTCCCTCTGCAACATATTGATCAGCCACCGGGCACCGCGCTTGCTGGAGCATCTGTGGGATTATGCTGCATGTCCCCTTCACAAGCGCAAGTCGTCTCTCGCTCCTCTCCAGGTAACGCAGCCTTTTCGCCAGCACGCACCACGAAGACAAAGATCCCCCGTGTAGCCTTTTAACAGACTGTTGGGGGTACGTGCTGTTAGCGAGCACCTATGAAGGTCGGCACGGCACACGATGGGGGTGGGTGGCCAACACCACGCCCGGCCGCCTTTGTCTCCCTAGCGGCGATGTTTACACACCGCACCAGGTACTCATTTGAGGCTGAGTCGACCTAAGGGTGGCCCAGGACCGGTACAGATAATCGTCACCTGGTGTTGACCGTGAGCGGGAATCGACCTCGGGTGGCCAGCACACACACACATACCCGCACATACACCCGCACACACACAACCGTACACACACACACACACCCGCACATCCACACACCCGTACACACACACACCCGTACACACACACACACCCGTACACACACACACATACCCGCACACACACACATACCCGCACACACACACACCCGTACACACACACACCCGTACACACACACACCCGCACACACACACACCCGCACATCCACACGCCTACAACACAAGAGCCCTCTCCGTGGATCACGTGCAGAGTCCGCAATTAGTGACATCTCGACAGACGCGGCGGTGTCATGCACACGTGAACCTGTGGGCAAATTGGACCAAGCGACCCAGCTCTACGCAGCGACACGTTAAAACGCATGCGTCAATAGCACTGCACTAAGTTGAATACTGTATTTTAAATATAAAATAGGCGACGTTTCTGACAATGACCCTGCTTTATGCAGACGCATGGTATCAATAAATACGCTGCGGATGTCTAACCGCTATGGAGAAGGACCAGTGACCGAAACGTCGCCTGTTATGTGTTGTTCACCTTTTAGAGGAGACGAATTTGTCGATGTCATGTTTTGCTCGTGCACCACTGCCAACGGATGATCACACTTTGTTTTATTTAATTCCGGACGAATATTGTTTGCCGGGCTAATGATCTTGCACTACTACGACTCTATAACAATGCATTTGATGTGATAGCTACACAGGATTGCTGCTTGTACACAGCTTCGTTAATCAGTGTTGCCAGCACAGTAATAATGATAATAATGTCTTTTGAGTGCAAAGGAAAACATTGCATTGTCACTACTACTTTAAACTTGCATACATCTGATGATGATGGTGATGATCGTCGTCATCATCACGATTATCGTCGTAGTGCATGCGAAGTGGTGATGCATTTTTAATGTGCAGAGCACGCATTGTGGCTGGCATGAGCGCAATTCGTTGTGCGCATGAGTCATACATAAATGCATGAGATACACATATAAGCTCATACGTATAAGCAGTCTCATTAATTTGAGTTCTTGCATTTGTGAGCTGTCAAACGCAATGGCGATGTTAGCTGTGGTGGGGGGGGGGGGGAAGAGATACGCGTTTACATACACGTACACTTTTAGATTTGCGTTTGGAGTTTACCTGATGTTTTTTTTTTTCTAAGTGTGACCAAGCACGATAGCCTAAGCCAAGAATGTATCTGCTTGGTCAGGATTTGTTGTCCTGCTGAGGTGGGAGCATTAACCTTTCCGTGCCCAAATCAATGCAAGCTAATACACGTCTTGCACTAATTGTCAGCAGCATTGCTTCATATTTGGAATCCTTTTAAAATGGTCTTCACTCACATCTCAACCACGTGATGTACAGATGTGTGCACATTTCTATCGAGTATGTCAATGTATTTTTATTTCATATTCATGCTAAATAAGGTCATTCTATCGGAAGATAGTGTTATATAGCATAGAATAAATATGTATGGTATATTAATGATTTAATTCGTATATTTGAATCTGTTTTAAAATGCTAGTTTCTTGAAATTCTTATTGTAAGGATGGATCCTGCCTGTTTTTGTACCCTCACAGAGTCTTGAGACTAATGTTCTGCAGGTTTATATTTTTAAATGATACACCCCCCAGGTCGATGATATACATTATCAAATGTGCAGCAAAACAGACCTACACTGGATTTGTGCTCTTGGCACTCATCAGCAAGCCATTGAATACACAAATAGTGTGATACCTGAATTTATAGGCAGAACTAATATGCACAACGTGAAACCCACAATCTGTACTTCAATTACAAACTAATGAACACCATATCAGCCTTATTATGATTATCATCATCATCCTTGTCTATCGAGTAAAGATTCACTCAATACTTTTTCCGAAGAGTTCTGCCAAGTTTTTGCAGTAGGGGGCGATGTTGCTTTGTAAAATTCCCATTGAGTCATTTGCAGGTAACATTTCAGCTTTGGGATGTTTGGCCAATACCAGTTGGATAGCATGTTTTTTTTTTATATGTAAGCAAAGAAATGTGAGTAACAAAACAGCTGTATTTTTTATTTATTTATTCAGGGTAATTTCTGCATAACGTACAGACCGTGTGAAATATAAGCAGCAGTGCCAGTCGTGGCCAGAAGCAACATCAGACTCCCGACAGCTCAACTCACTGACCATCGCTCTCCTTCCTAATTGTGTCCGTTGCCTCCGTACTTGTTACAAACTTAACTGGTGATGACTCATTTCATCGGCTCCTGTTTCAGACTCGAATCACCCTCCTCTTTCCTGCATGCGGTGAGCTCTTGTTGCCCAAACAGAGAAATAAACAGAGACAAGATTATTATTATTAAACCAAAGTAAACAGAAAATCGTCTCCTCGGTCACAGTCATCTGCTCTGTTGTCGGTTCTGAACCACAATTCCACCATGCCCATTGAAGTGCGTCGTCTTTCTCTAGGACAGCCGCTATCGATTTCCCACAAAAGTGCAACTCATTGTATCGATGGCTGAGGAATGAAAGGCTGAGTTGGCTCTGAACTAGGCTTTGAATTGGCAGCCTTCTGGATTTTGGCTCGAGAAATCTACCACAGTGCCACACAGCCGAATTGTTACATGACAGGTACTGCACGGCACGTATGAAATTAACGTATGAATGTGAGCGTCTGTACGTCTGTACGTACGCAAGCACGTGTGCATGCTCACGTGCTTTTGAATAAAAGTCAGAGATTACTTCCCTTAAATCTTCAAATTGTAAAAAAAACCTGACACTATCTAGGGCGTACACCTGTTAACGCGCAGCAGCGCGAAAGCTTCGGTGGCAGCTCCTTATCTGACTAAGCGCAGGGAACGCGCTCCAGCCACCATCCTGCCCGCTTCCAAAAGGGCTGCGTGCCAAATAGGAAAGGCTGCATTATCGCGTCCATTAACGGGCAGATGGACCGTGATCAATGGTGGCGGCAGTTTTTTTTTATTGCTTAAGTGATCGCCTTGAGACCACCACCACTACCACCACCCATCCATCCACCCCTTCTCCCTCACGGTCCACCCTGTGTGCACAACGCTCTCCGTGGAGCTGGAGCGGTGCAGCTGCCTTTGAGCACGTGCCGCTTTCGTCATTGCCTCTCGCAGCTTTATCGCAGTTGCGAGAGCGACGTCGGTGTCACATGGGTGACGAGTGATTGTTGTTGTTGTTGCGAATGCTAGACTTAGATCCCTGCCACGTGAATGTGGAACTTCCATGTCTGGCTCAGCGCTAGCAGTGGAGATGAGTAAAGCCCATTGCTCATTGTCATTTTTGAGGACATGTTACATGGGTGGCTTTGCTTAAGTTCACTTGCTCTGTCACACTGGCGAGTGCTTAAACCCAGTGATGCCTAGAAGTTCACACTGATATTGTTAGCGTGCGATAACGATTACTTTTATGGACCCAAAATCTGGCACGGGAATTTGTAATTTCCACTGCTTGCTTCGGGGCACCAATGGGAATGGGCACCAATGCCTTGCCCTTTCGAGCACCTCCCCAGGCACAGGTGTTGCAATGAACATTCATAAAGGGAAATGCTTTTGTGTTGTGCCAAGCCTCCTATAACACAACTAGATTATCATTAATTGCTACAAATTCGAATAAGCTGAAACTGCTCATCATTGAACCTGTGTACTGCAAACGTCATTCTGTCTGCACGTGACACTTTCATCAGTGGCACGACCTCAAGGGGAAACTATATAGGCGACGTTTCGAGCAATGGCCCTTCATAGTAGAGAGATTGTGTGCATTATAGAATGTTCGTCTATTATTCACTGAGTCTCTACCTCTCTGCGTAGAAGGAGGAGGTCCATTGCCCCATACGTTTCCGATTAAACAAATGTTGTGTTTTTTTATCTTTTGGGCCAGCGTGTCATGGGTTCTTGTCATGTGTGTTCCTGTGCAGCACTGCCTATGCAGTATCGCACGTTTTTTGTTGCCGCTGCTGCTGTAGTTTACATCTGGACGTGTTTCGATTTAAAGCTTTCGTGACTGCAGGGATTCATCTTCTTGGTTCTTTCGGTAAAGTCACGTAGAAGGGAAATAATAAAATAATAAAACAAATATAACATAATAATTTATTATGTTTTATTTTTAAGCATAATAAAAAAAATTCATGTTTTCTTTTTATTATTTTATTATTTCCCTTCTACGTGACTTTACCGAAAGAACCAAGAAGATCAGGATGTGTCTTTGTCCTCGTTCGTTGGAACGCGAAGGAGGGTATTCCTTCACGTCACTCTTTATTCCTGCATCGATTTCTCGCTCAATTACAGGGAATTACTCGCGCCTGGGACGCGGTGGACAACCTGAGGTCTCATAACCTCGTCCCCCGGGGGAGAGCCGCTCGCAAGCGTCCTCGCCGGGCAGGGTGTCCGTCTGCGGCTTAAGCCGACCAGCAGGTCGAGACAATTTGGGATCATCATCCTCTTGACAACAAGAACACTTCATCCGCGGAGGGATCGGGCACTGTAATAAAAAAAAAATCGCTTCATGAAATAAAAAATATATTAAAAGAGGAAAAGGAAATCGTTTGTATAAAAGAAGTAAAGTGCGGGTAGTGGTGCTGGCGAGACCGGGAGGCTATTACATCCCTGATATCATCGCCTCGTGTGGATCAAGTGCTAAGCTCGGCCGATTCCCCCGTGAGCAGCACCTAAGCCACCGCGGACACTCACGTGCTGATTAAGTACTTCGGAGTGGCCCTTTGCGAAGCCACTGATGAAACTTTATTTTTCATCTCCCTGCCGCTTTGTGGGGGGCGAGCCATTTACCGGCGAGGACCTGAGGATGAGTTCATCGAGCGGCGGTCAGAACATCCGGCGGCGTCCCGTGCGCATCTCCCCACCACTTCCATCTCCGCCTGCGCCGCTTCCATCGCCGCGCCTGCAGCCGCCACCGCCGTTGCTGCTGGCGGCGGTGGTGGTGGTGGCGGCGGCCGCGCTGGCGTCGCTGGGTGACGCTCAGGAAATGGTCTCCTACTCCCGCTCCATCCGCATCGAGGGCAACGTCTCCATCGGCGGGCTCTTCCCCGTGCACGCGCGCGGGCCGGGCGGCCTGTCGCCGTGCGGAGACATCAAGAAGGAGAAGGGCGTCCAGCGGCTGGAGGCCATGCTGTACGCGCTGGACCGCATCAACGCCGACCCTGAGATCCTGCCCAACGTGACGCTGGGCGCGCGCGTGCTCGACACGTGCTCGCGCGACACGCACGCCCTCGAGCAGTCGCTCACCTTCGTGCAGGCGCTCCTCGAGAGGGACTCGTCCGACGTGCGCTGCACCAACGGCGACCCGGTGACGTTCGCCAAGCCGGAGCGCATCGCCGGCGTGGTGGGAGCGGCCGCCAGCCCCGTCTCCATCATGGTGGCCAACATGCTGCGCCTCTTCCAGGTGAGGGTCCGGCCCAGGCGTGGCCGATCGTGGCGAGTTGGTGGCGCCGAGCGAGCTGGCTGCGTCGCTGGGGCGATCGTCATCGAATCTCAGTGCGCCCGCTGGCTCAGGGCTGACCAAGGGAGATTAGTGCGGAACATTAAGTATTAGCAGTTTGAAGGATATTTATTAAACGGATTAGTTTGATGTTGGTCGTGTCCGTCGTAATGATCTGCATCATTTATTCAGCCGTGTAGTTGTTGTCACGTTGCGACGATGTAAGAGATTGGTGCCAGAAAGATGTGCACTACTGGAGGATATTGCCACTACATACCACTCATTTTATCAACCCTAAGGGAATAAAGGGCTGAGAGTCGTCCCCTGTAGGTAGTAATATATATTTTTCATTGTTTAGAAAATTCAAATTTTACGCCAGATGCCAGATTTTCACCATAAAACGCTACACATATGAACAAATAAAAATGTACTTGACTGAGAATTTAACTCTCAACCTTTGATTCCTCACATGCTCTCACCACTCTGATCGATCATTTGAATGCATGGAAGACGCACAACGGCACTGCAGCTATATATATATAAAACGGCCACAGTTGAGCAGCTATGCTCGGCATCAGCAACAGCAAAAACACTGACGATACTATCCGTCATTTAATCCAGAGTGCCAGCCGCTAAGTGTGACACACCTAGCTGCGGAGATAAACAACGCTGCATTATTGACGACTTCTCCAGCCGTACATACGCACGATGCCCCGATGCTCATTGGCTCACCTCCCCGTGCTGCCGCTGCTGCTGCTGCTGGGAACATTAGTGCTCAATGACTCCGGTTGAGAAATGCGATATGATAGCCAAGGGCTTGTATATCTGGAGACCTTGGTCTTTTACTTCACATATATATGGAGAAGCGTGCATATATGTTGAGACGTAGTGATGATAATAATGGTTTATAAACATTTGTCGACCAACTGCTGGATGAAGGCCCCCCCTCCCACCCCACGCCATGTCAGTTATGAGTGTTGTTTGACCATACTTCACCACACTGGACAATGTAGGTTGGTGAAGTGGGGAGAACAAAAGTGATTCATACTGGTAGGCACCCACTGGTTCCACCAGCCCACAGGGGATTATTGTGTCCGTCCGTTCGTCGTGCAGGGAGGGGCTGGGTGGGGAGGGAGGGGCTGGGTGGGGAAGGGAGGGTGGGGAGGGGCTGGGTGGGGAGGGGCTGGTCACCCCGTGGTGCCCTTATAAAACTCAACATTTAACCTACTCACGCCGGCTTGTGCCCGCCCTCACAGTCGGCCATATTTGCGGAATACACCACGCCGCCGTTGACCCTGACCATTGACCGAGCAACCCAACGTTCCTACCAGCTCCCTCCGCAGGAACGTGTTCTATCACTCACCACTGATCTTAGCCATGGCTGAGAATCTAACGCATGTAACCTTAATCAGAGGACAATAGAATTTGCAATATCGTCATAATTATCATCATCATCTTCGGCCATCATCAATGCACTGTTTGATGAAGGCGTCCCAAACCACCGTCATCTTTCATGATACTCAAATCTAATAGTCCACCTAGCACCTGCACAGGAACTGATTTCAATTTGATATCTGCAGATAGTAAACCCCTCTTATCCAAATGTATAGGGGGACACTGTACGTGATTCCTATAATTAGTTTGATTAATTTGCATTATTTCTACTTTCAACTGAGCATAATCACAGATAATGTAATTTCTGTTGCCGTCACTCATGGAATTTTTTTTCTTATCCTTGAAAAGGCTCGGATTATACGATGCCATCGTTGTTGCTGTTGGATCACTCCCTCTTGTTTGAGCAAATTCCTCTGATCGGAGCAAAAACAACTTTGCCAGGGAAGTTCAAGGTCGCACTTCTTACCCACAAGACATCTCGCAGAATGTGAAGACTGGAGTACTTCCGGGATGCCACTTGTGGCTGACTCGTCGACACCATTAGGAATACGAAGAACTTCCTCACTCTTCCGGATAACATTTTCTATGTCACATCTTGTACAATGCGCGGATCACTGAGTGTGCACAAACGGCATCAAGCGTGTAAAATAGTTATTTTCATGAATAAAACTCGTTTTACTGCCTAGGGGACGTGAACAAGTAACAATACCAATCTCTTGCCCGGGAACATTTTGACTGATTCTCCAAAACTCTCCCTCTGGTCCTGTTTGGAATCGTTTGGCCAATTAATTCACGGATGGGCATTTGGCACGTGTAGACTGAATTATCCATAGTAAGCTCACACACGGGAGTATGACCAATCCGTTTGACATTTTAGAGTGATAAACACAAATGCAGAGGGTTCGCGAACCCCATCTGACATCATCAGCGATATTCATATTCGATGTCTTTTTGAAACAATGCAATGGACATACATTGCATTTCACAGGCATCCACGCTTTACACGATACAATTTCAATGTTTATAGCATTGAAATGTGACCACATCTCAGGATATGATATAAAAAATGTTCATCTATTATAGGCAAATTAACAAACGGAGTTCTTAAGTGTCAACTTGACCGTGGTGCCAGCAGAGGAAAATGAGCTCCCTCCCTCCCACTGGGTGATGGTCGATTGGGGGCTTCGATAAAGAAAAAAGCGCCATGGTTGCTGGAGCGGAGAGAGCGCGCGTGTGGAATTGGCGTCGAGTGAGATGAGATGGGAGAGGTAAGCAGTGGGGGCGAGTCCACGGAGGATCTTTAAAACAGTTAGCGCAATGCTAAAATTGATCCAGCATTGGATTGGGAGGCAGTGGGGGGATTGAGGTATCGGGGTGCCGTGATCTCATTTACGGGTGCGATCGAGAAGTCTCGCAGCGGAATGTTGGATCATTCGGAGTTTTGGAGGCGCACGCCCAAACTGGAGCGTTCCTAAGAACTCGGGGTGAGCAACCTCCTTTGCTGAAAATGTGAAGCCACGTGTGGGGTTTGTGCCGTTGATGGAAATCTGCGTCGGAGAGCGGCTACTGCGCTCTACAACGTTTTTATTTCTCCCCAGTAGGCACCTCGCACAGCGTTTTCTGGCACACGACTCGCCACACTTTGCGAGTCGTGTGCAAATTGAGCGGAGTCGAAGAGAAAGCGTTTTAAGTGCATTCCATCACTTAGATTGGGTCCGTTTAAGCAAGGTTGTGCTCACACATTCACCTGTGGCTCACTGCTTGTTAAGGGCATGAGATTCGTTCACGATGGGGGAGAGTGACGTGGACACAACGAGACGTGTTTGTGTGCTCAATCAGCAAGCATATCCATCACAATTAAGCGTACCCGGTTGAGGCAGAGTATCTAACTTTGTGTGTTTTTGCAGGGTGAGGTGTTTGGGATAATTGTTTGTAAAGAGGACTGCATCCATACTAATTAAACTTTGATTGGGACATTCATTTATCTAGCAGCTGCATGGGATTATCATGTTGCAAAGGCAGTCAGACAGAATCAATTGGGATGCCATGCAGTGTGTGTTTATACACCCAGCGGAGAAATTGTCTGGCTGAAATATTGATCTGGAATGTGAAATGACCAGAGCAGAAGATGATACATTCCTGGACATAACACGTACCTCTCTATGTGTTCTCTTTTCATAGGCCTGGGTAACGTTTTTTGTATTTACCCTGTTTCATGCACTGTGGATGTACCTTCCAGAATATATCATTTTGGTTGTGATAAAATATTTAGAGCTCAGCTTGAGAAAGTTTGTATTATTATTATTTTTACAAAGTTTGTTATTGCTCTTGTATGTGGCATGTATAGGTTTTGCCAAATGGCAACGAAGCATTGTAAATGTACAACACGTACATTTATTTTTTCTGCTTTCATGAAGTATATTTTAATCATGTTGTAAAATGTCACCGCTGAAGAGTGAAACTCATATAATAACCATTGGACGTAATAAAGGGTGTATTTTGGGTTGTGGATAATATTTGTTTGCGAAAGCCTACGTGTTTACATAACCATTGGATTACTTTATTTTATATATTTAGAAGTTCCTCATAGAATATTGCATGCATTAATACACTATACAATGCAATGCGATCACATTTTTGTATTTGTTTTCTATGTGTATTTGAATACAACTGCATCTCAAGAAGCTTTGTAAAAAAAAAAAACAGAATATGTTATTTATGAGAACATGAATAAGTTGAACAACACTGAATGGGTAGGAGAACAGCCAGTGATACGTATCAGAGGAAAGGGAAGTATTGAGCCTGGACTGGAACAGGGGTAGTGAGTCAGCAGCATGCAATGGGAAAGCAGGAGGGAATTCATATTGCAGCAGGTCAAGTGAGTGTTTCGTCAGGAAGGTTTGGTTGCTTGGACAGAGGGCACCCGAAGGGAAGGAGAGCTACACGAGAGGGATAGACCCATGATCATGTTGTTGTTGTTGGGGTTAGATCGCGTACATATGAATGTGCCGTTAACCCGCCACCATCCGGCACAGCCGATGAGTAAGGGTTGTCACGTGCACAAAACGTGCCAATTCGTTACTACTTACAGCGCACCGGTGTGCTGGAGAGTCAACTCGCAATATTTACAATTTGAGTATGGCGGGTTAACCCCAACACACCTTTGTTGTGGATAATATTGGTTGCAAAAGCCAACTACGTGGGAAACTGAAGAGAGGTCAAATAGGCACTGGACCATTGAAGTTCAACGTTCGAACAGCTTTGCGTTGGTCAACGTAATTTATTGACACATTGATTTGATATCAACATCTGCCTCTTATGTTTCACTTAATCGACCTGAACGGAAGTTACAAATGCCAATTACATTTTTTCCAACGGCAAACTGATTAATAATGACAATCGACGCACTTCGTGTAGCAAAGCCAGAATCGTGTTGGTGAACACTTTTTTTCCAGCGGGCCATGCAGCTCCAAAACGAGCTGCCAGCTCCTCTGTACGTGTGATGATGAGACCGGCTACGACACTTTCAAATCCAAATCGAAAACTCATTTATTCGGAACGGCTTGATG